TGGTGGCAAGCAAATGCGAAAAACCATTAAGCAGTGTGAGTGTGAAAAGAAGTAGTTCTGTTGGATGGCTGAGTTTTTCCGCTCGCCGAGAAAGTCAGTGAGACTTGAAAAACAAAATGTAACAGTAGCCGTGGGCGGGGATGCCGTCTCATAGTTGGCAAACTGCGCGGCGGCTGCCGTAGAGCCGGAGGTTGGATGTTGCTGTAGTTAGCCAATGTGGTGTGAGAGGCTGTCGCGGGACCGTGAACGTTCCCTAGTGGGAGTGGTAGTGTTGATGTGGGTTGCCGGGGTGGCTTGTGGTGGAGGGCCTGTCCAGTATGAGTGTAGGTGTTCTGCGTCTTGTGGTGGGGTACGTGGTGAAGGGGAGGGTGAACGGCTGGAAAGTCCGGGTGGTAGTGGAAAACCTGGCGGTATGTTGTGGATGATGGCCAGGTTTCTGCTGGAGAGTGTGGCTGTGGGGTTGATGCGGTATTGTCCTGGAAGCCCGGGGCCGGTGGTAACAAATTGAAGGAGCCGACGAGCCTGGGAGAGGTTATCGATCAAGCGGTCCAGCAAGATCAGGTCACCGCGCATTCGGTAAAGGAGGTTGTATGCTCTCTGGTCTTGGAAATAAATCTGGCTTGGCATAGGTTCAGTGTGGAATGGGTGACGGCGGAGGTGTTGGTTGACCAGAGAGAGGAGGTCCAAAGAGCCGTTGAGGGATTGAAAATCGGGCTGAGTGCTAATCGAAGGTTGGAGCCAGCTCGGAGGGCGCTGTGGGAGGTAGTGTTCTGTATCGGCAGGGTTGCTATGAGGGCGAGCGCGAGGATTGGCCATGACAAATGATGGAATAAAATGGCGTACAAAAGGCTGCGGAGCTGAAGTGAGCCTGAAAACTGACAAATCGAAGTTGGGCAAACTGGTGAACGTAGATTGGATGTGAGAAACCAAATGTCAGTACGGGTCAGTGGATTTGTCCTGCGGCACGCCGTAAAGAAAGCTGGGTGAAACGGGTCAAATGAAAAAACTGACCATGGGGGTAAGTGGAGATTTCTCCGGTTGACTGTCTTCACTAAGGTCCCGCTCAGCAGCCGGCGGCAGCAGCGCAGCAGCAGGAGTCGTTGGATGTTGTGAAGTCTGTGGCGTTGTTATGGGGGAAGGGGAGAAATCCGGTTGTGAGTGCGGTGCTGGGGAAACTGCTGGTGATGTGGGTGTTGGTGAGGGGGAAGGTGCTTGTCTTGGTGGTGCGGTTGGTAGTGGTGTGGAGAAGAGTTGCTGGTCCTGCTGACGTTGCATGTCTTTGAGTTCCTGCCATCGGGCTTGGCATTGCTCAACGGAGAAGCCCACTCGGCGAGCCACAGTGGTCCAGTTGGGACGAAGTTTTGGGTTTTCTTTGAGTTCTACCAGGCGACAGTCAGCGTCGCCGTCCCAAGCATCCCAATCCGCCTGTCGGTTCAGTGGTGGTGGGGGTGGTTGCTTCCGCTTGCGTGTTGTGGTGGGTTGTGGATCTGGGGTTGTTGTTGGAGTGTCGTCTGAGTCTTTTGAGGGTGGTGCTGGTAAACGGTTGGGTGGTCTGGATGGTGCTGAGTCACAGGATGAGGTGGTAGATGGTAAACGTATAGGGTGGTTGGGCGGAGTTGGAAGTGGCTGAAAGTGTTGGCGGAAAGTGGGGTCCGCTTGGTGGCAGTGGTGAAGGAAAACAGTGTGGAGGTGTGCTACAATATCTGTTGCTTGTCGGAGCAGGTTTTGCACCTGCGAAAGTGCCACTGCGGTTCTGTGTATGAGAGTTGAGGTGTCGTTTTGTAGAGGTGTCGGTGTGCTGCTCATGATTCTGAGATGTAGGGGTGTACAGTAGCTAAGAATCGTCACAGGTTGCTGCGGCAGCGCGCCAAAGCAGCCGGACAGCGGCGAGTCTGAGGAAGCGCGTCGTCACGAGGCCGTGCGTATGAATTAAACGAGCATCAAATTCCCACAGGCAAAAGAGCGAAAATGCAACGCCGGTTGGACAATCAAGTACATGAGAAACTGACATGTGAAATACTCCATCAAAACAGCCGGTACGATTCGAGGAAAGATGTTTACAGCAAAACACTGCAGAGCTTGAAAAATTGAGGGTTCAAAATTCGCGTGGCCTCTGCAGGAGGCTCTTTTTTGCTGCTACAGCAAAGGTTGGGTGTTGGGGTGAGACCAAAGGTGGATGTGGAGGTGGTAGTGGTGTGTAGAAGTGCGGTAGTGGTGTTATGGGTCCGGTGGAGTGGAGTTGGTGGACCAGGCCAGTCCTTTGACAATGGCGTGGTCCGGGTGGATCACCCAGCAGCGGCCCTTCTGATGAAAGACTGCACCATGGTGGTCGTTAAGGAGGTTCATGGCGTGTTCCTCACCTCCAGAGGTATATTTTGTGGCAGCACCCCAAGCAAGGAGTGTGATGATAAGGGAATGGGAATTCTTGTGGAGTTGCCAGGTGTTGTGGATGATGCGGGCAAGTTCGTTGTGGTCATGGGGTTGGTTGTGGGTGATGCGAACGCCCTGGGCAAAAAATCCAGGGTAGTTGGCAAAATGGAGTGTGCTGGGTAAAAATCGGCCTTGGCGTAGAATGTTGGAGATGTTGCCGACGGGGCCTGTGTGGCCTGCGTTGATGTGGGCGACTTCCCGGTGGGTTGATGTGGCGCGGGAAACCGCAGGTGGCTCTGGTGTAGTGGCTTTGGTGTTGAGGAAGGGAAGTGAAATGGCGTAGTACTGGAATTGGTCGTATTGGTGAGTTGTGTCGTTCCACTTGGCGTGGGTGTATTGTCGGAAATCGGTGATCTCCTTGTAGGTGATGTTGCAGTCTGTGAGGATATTGGCAATGTACTGGTGTTGTGGTCGGTTGGGATTGTCGAGTTGGGTGGCGTGGAATTCGAGCCATTCCAGGATTTGGTCTGCAGGTGTAAAGGTGTGAAAGTTGGGTGGAGGTCGCCAACGGTTGATTGGGCGACGGAGGACGGCTGTGGTGGGAAATTGAGAGGGGTCTGGGTTGGAGTGTTCGGTGTTAGGGCGTAGATCAATGGGTTGTGGTGGCGAGCGACTGCGGGATGGCGTAAGGCTGGATGTGTAAGTGGATGTTGAAGGCGACCGCCGTCGCCGGGTTTTGCTGTGATGTTTGGAGTGGCGGTGATGGTGATGTCGGCGGCGGTGGCGGTGGCGTCCTCTGTGGTGATGGTCGGACTTGCGTCGGCTCTTGTGGTGGTGGCGGCGACTGCTGTGTGGTGGTTGCGGGGAAGGTGGTTGCGGTGCTGGTGAGGCAGTAATGTCAGGTTTGGCTGGTGCTGGTAGTGAAGATCCAGGCGCTGGTGCGGCAGATACCAGCGATGGGGATGCTGAATGTTGGGATACGGTAGCTGGGGGGGGCGTGTTTTGGACTGGTAATGGATTGTCCTGGGCAGTCGTGGGGGTGGATTGGATTGGTAGTGTTGGATCCGATGGTGGCTGCTGTTGAAGTGGAGGTTGGGCTGGTGTTGAGGTGTTGATGGTTTGTGGAGGCGGTGGCGGGGGCAACGGTTGGGGTGGAGGCTGTGTGACGGGGGGAAAGGCTGAATAGGGTTGCCAAACGCCCTGGGGGATGGCGTATTGGGGGTCTGTGGATGGATGATTGGCGATCGCAGTCTGTTGCTGTGTTGGAGGGGAATGTGTCATTGGGGGGAGGGGGTTCAGCCGGTGGTGTGGGATGATGTGATGGCAACAGGTAGGAAGGGGGAGGTGCTGCTGTCGGAAATACTGGAGTTGGATGTGTGGGCTGCGGTGGCAGGTGACATGGTTGGACAAAAGTCCAAGTGGATGGTGTGCCGTAGGTCAGTGCAGTGGCGGTAGGGTTGGACACAAACGGTGGTGGTTGAAATGGTTGTGGTTGTGGGTGAGGGTATGCCGATGGTTGTGTCGGGGGAAAAGTGGGTGCAGTTGATGGTTGTGGCATCGGCCATGTGGGTTGAGGTTGTGTGGTAGGTAATGGTGGTGGCGTGGTGTGAGCGTAGGGCCACGGAAAATGTGGTCGTAGCTATGGCGCGGCGCGGCGCGGCAGCAAAAAAGCAGCGGGGAGGTGCCGAGTTGTATTGTCTAGTTGTTGTTGAAGGTGTCGGCTCTGGTGTCAATGGTGAGTATGTTGTAAGGTGGTGCTAGATGTGAGCTTGTTGGTAGGCGTGTGTTCATGCATATCGAATTAAGCTGAAGAGCTGTAATGCCCATCCTTGAGTTCTGTCGAGGAAAGAATCGCGGCAGCAACATAGCAAATATAGAAACTCGCACATGATTGGAAGACATGAAAAGACAACTGAATGCTGAAATCTGAGATCTGGAAGTTGGAATCTGAATTATTCTTCAAGAACCGTTTTTTGGCCCGGCGGCCGGTGTGGCGGTTGATTCTGTGAGGGTGTCGGTGCCTTCCTGTGAGAGTCCAGTGAGCGGTGGTGCGTTGGGGTGGTTGCTTTCCCATGCAAAATCGGCGCCCCTGTGACGGGGATCACACTCAGCACCCGAGTGGGACGGCTGAGCAGGACACACTCTGACACTGGTTTTCCGTTAAACTCAATTTCTCCGATGGGAAGGAAGGCGAGGGAACGGCAAGGTGGCAAAGTCCGCTGAAAAGTATTGTTTAACACAAGTTTCACGACAAACGCAAGTGGAAGCGGCGGTCAGCAGCTGCAGTGCAGTGGGAAACCTGTTTGTGGGGAGAGTATCGTGTGGAACCACCATGAATCAAACCAAAAGATTGGACAGCGTGTTCAAAAGTTGTAGCAGGTACGCAGGGCTGATCGGGCCCTGCTTCCCACTCTCACCCACAGCTTCGTTGCGTGTGGTAGGGCGAGAGTGCCACACGCCCCTGCCTGTGTAGAGTGGAAAGAGTGGTGGTGAAAGACCCTTTGTCCAGGGTGGGACACACACACACATATATATATATACACATGCATCATAGGTTTAAGGAGTCGCTATATGCAAGGGACTGCCATGTTTGCAATTTTGTCATTCCCATGTAGCATCACTCACACGAGGAGGAGAGCCTTTCGCTTATGTCCAGAGTCCAGCCGCTTGTTGACGAAGCTTTGTTATTTGTTCGTGGGGCTTGAAGAAGTGCTTTTGCTTAATGGTGTTCAAGGAATGCCACCGCGCATTTTCAACGCACTTGAACTATCTTGAACTCAAGACTTGAACGCCCTGAACATGATACTGAGGTCATGTATGATCCGGGAATGGGCATCCAGTACCAAGCCACAACAACCTTTAGCGCGGCTGGCTCGGGTTCAGGAAAGCCATAGTCCTGCTCGATCCTGCTTGGTCCTGCTGCGGGCTTCAAGAAGGCATACGAAAGTCAGAACAAAGGTAAATAGCATTACTCTTCACCAGAGCGAGCGAGCAGGATGTTCTTGGGGCCCCATGGCCTTCAACGTTGGTCCTTGAAAGAAATTTCCCTGCATCTCCGGAGGAGCTGCAGGTTCACAACCTCCCACTTTGACCATTGTTTGCGGGTCATAAGTGCTGGAGGGCAGAGCGCCGATGGCAGTGTGGAGGGGTGTTATATAGGGCAGCGAAAGATCCAATGCCAATCAACCACTTCCAGAGTAGCTTTGTTGTTTGTGGAAGGTCCCCCGTGCTGTTTCTACTGGCCTGCACGGCACTTGACAGTCTAATTGTTGGACCAGGCTCGCCTTGCCGGCCAAAAAAGCTGAAAGGTCACAGCTCATAGACAAACGAATTGGAAGTTCTGAGTGGCACTTGGGTGGGGTCATGTGTGTGACAACCGGCATCCCCCCGGTTCAAAGATTGAGATTGATCCGTTCATTTGTGACAGGGCGGGAAAGTCACCTCGCCATGGCGGACAACTTGCGCCTTGCGGCGGAGCCAGCTGTTACAACCATTCCGGTGGTCACTGTGCCAGCACGGGTCACAGAGGTGCCAACCTCGGTCCCTGTGACACAGGTGGCACCTGTGACACAGGTGACTCAGAGCCAGGTGAGTGGTGTTGCTGCCACTTTGTCACAGCCAGGCTACATCATCCAAGGGCCTCCTGGGCCTCCTTCATCCCATGTGGCGTCTCCCAGAGTCTACTACCGGGACGTGTCCCCTGACCGTGTGGTGTACCGGGATAGCAGCTCCATCAGCCCTGCCTTAAGGTCCTGGGTGGAGTGCCTGGTGGACAACCGTGTGGATCAAGCCATGCGACAGCTACAAGATGGGAACTTTGCGCTTTTGCTGGAGCAAACTCGCCAGGATGCCAATACCATCTCACACAACACCAACTTAGCCCTGCAGCAGTCTGAGGAGGCACGCAGGCGGCTGGAAGCTCAAGTCCGCTCCCTCAATGATGGACAGTCCAAATTGAAGGCCATTGTGGAGAACTTGTCCGGAGAGAATGATCGACAATTCTGTTCCAGCAGCCAAGCCAAAGCCGAGGCGGTGCAATCCGTGGAGCGCGTGGTGGCCACGGTGCAGGAGCTGCGGCGCACCATGGAGCAGGACGGCGACGTGGTCAGCGCGCGGCTCCGCGAGCACGCCTTGGCCATCGACGACCTGCGGCGCTCCACCGCCGAGGACGTGGCGCGGCTGCGCGCCGCGGCGGCGGACCTGCAGCGGCTCAGCGCGGAGGCCACGAGTCGCCAGCGGCAGAACGGGGACGAGTTGGCCACCACGGCCGCCTCGGTGGCCGCCACACGGCAGGAGCTGGCCGAGCTATCGCGGCAGCTGCAGGGCTTTGACCGGAAGTTGTCTGGGTGGAAGAGCGAGGTGAAAGTGGAGGTGTTGGAAGAGGTGGCTGGCCGGGAAATCTCCCAAATGGCAGACACACGCATTGATTTGGAATCCAGGATTGAACGGCTCAAAGTGGATTTGGCCACCCTGGGGAAGATGAAGTCGGAGACGGAGAATCGATTTCATCACATGGAGCAGGATTTCGCCACCCGCCTGGGAGACCTGGAGTCCTTCTGTGACAACCTCCGCTCGGAAGTCTTCTCAGCGACCAACGCGCGGGTGGAGACCTTGGATGCGAGATCTTCGGAAGCTCAACAAAGCTTATCCAGGCGGGAACGGAGCTTTGAAGACTGGCCCGAGGGCCGTATGCGCTGGTGCCCTCGGGGTTTTGGATGGCTTTGATGGTGAGACCTGATGACACATGCACGTGTGAGGCATTAGGTCATTAGGTGTTCAGCAAGAAAATCCTAGAAAATTGATGCCAATGACGGATAGATGAATAGGGGAACACAGAAGAATTGGAGTCTCAAACATTGTTTACGAAAGCCAGCCTTCGTAGAAGGCGCCAGCTGAGTTGTGCTTGGCGAACGAAGCGAGGGGGGGGGGTACACGTAAACTCGGCACATGCTGGGGGAGGAGGGTGGACGGATGGAATGTTTTTTGAGGTGATTTTTGAGGGGTGGTGATGCAAGAAATGCAATTTGCATCATTTGCATCATCTGAATGGTAAGGTGTAGTATCGTAGTTGGCACCTTGCCAGGTATAGATACCCAGGGTAGCTATAGTGCAGTTACGAGGTATAGAACTTCAAGTTCCCTTTCCATCAACCGCTCGATAACCTTTACACACGCACAGCAATCCGCAGCTTTGAAGTCTCATGCGCGCGATACCTGGGAACAGAATTGTAGCTACCCTGGGTCCGTAGAAATGCTATGTTGCTATACCTCTTACACACCTATATAAGTTCAAAGCACGAATGAGACTTCAAAGCTGTGGTTTGCTGTGCATGTGTAAAGGTTATCGAGCGGTTGACGGAAAGGGAACTGGAAGTACTATACCTGGCAACTGAATTGTAGCTACCCTGGGTCCGTATAGATGCTATGTTGCTATACCTCTTACAAACCTATATAAGTTCACTGCAAGAATGAGACTTCAAAGCTGTGGGTTGCTGTGCGTGTGCAAAGGTTATCGAGCAGTTGACGGAAAGGGAACTTGAAGTACTATACCTGGTAACTGAATTGTAGTTACCCTGGGCATCTATACCTGCGCCAGCTGAGTAAGAAGGGGGGTTCGGGGGGGTGGCCTGAGAAAGCACACTCGAAAGTAAAAGCGCTGGCTTTCGTTTTGCAGCTTCTCAGGTTTTGTTTATTTTGCTGCCCCCCTTTAAAAAGGGCACAAGAAGTGATCATACCGCATCATACCCCACAAAGATTTGAAGACATCCCGCCAGACAGTTCCGGGTCGAACAGCGGCTGGAGGCGCTTTGATGCCTTACAGGTGGGTGTCCATGAAGATGTGGAGTCCACTCGCCTGGATCTCAAGAAGTTGTCAGCTCACGTGAAGAGACTGGAGGACCAACACAGTTCCATCCGGGAGGAGGTCGCCTCCGAGGTACGTTTGGCCATCGCAGGCATCCCTGACTACAGCCATGATGAAGGGCCACTGCGTGCGGAAATGGCACAGAAGCTCAGTGACCTGGGAGCCAGGCTCAATGATTTAGGAAGCCGACTTCAGCAAATGGAATTGGCCACGCGGGAGAGTTTGGAACTGCGAGTGAGCCATGTGAATGCTGAAGCTCAGCAAGGTGTTGACCAAGTGAGGAGTGAAGTCTATGCTCTCCGGAAGCTCCTCAAAGAGGAGCAAAGCGTCGTCGCCGCGTTGGATGAGCAGCTGTGGCTCACGGACCAGCGGTTAGGTCAGAGGATCGATGATGCCGAAAGAGCCATCCATCGAGAACGGCTCAGCTTCGAGGCCAGACCTCTCCGCACGCCCCAGACTTCGGGACAGACCTCTCCGAACGGAGAATCGAAGAGTCCAGGAGGTTTAGCCATGGCACGCTTAGCTACTCGGCCCATCCTGGCATTATCTGATGATTCATGGGTTGTGTATATATATATATATGATTATATATGAGATAAGTGATATCTGGTTCAATGATGTTCTATGATATCTATGACAGGCTACCGAGATGTTCTGGACCCCTCATTCCTTTCACCCCTGCCGGCTTCAGGGCTTCCTCCACGGTTTGGATGTTTGCGGTCCGAGGCAGCCGAGGGCTTTGCTGCTTTGGCCCACGAGGAGGTGGATGAGCCCAGTGGACGGCGAGGATCTGGGCCTTCTGGGCTGTCCATGGCACGGCAAGCCGGAAGCTTAGTGAACCTGCTGCGACATGCACAAGTAGCCAAAAGGAGCCATTTGGAGCCAGAGAGACTTGGACACAGAATACAGTATGTATGACACAGTGCTGTCGCTTTCACAGGCTGCTGAAGATCTGGCTTCGCGTGGTGCGCGGAGCCGTTTGAGTGACAGAAGGTTTTAGCAATTTTAGCCAAGCCTTTGCTGTCATTATCTTACATCGTCAAATTCATCAGTCTCTAAGAGCTCGACTCGACCCCTTCGGTTGAACATCTTGAGTGAAATGGCATACGATGACACACGTGAACATACTCCATATGATATTGATTATGATTGCGATTGTAGGAACAGGACGTCGAATTGTGCTTCGGCATTTGGTATGTGAATGATGCGAACGTTGATCTTGTGAGGCCACCTGGGCCTCTGTTTCGGTTTCTGTGTTTTTCTCGGCGAAAGGCCTCTGAATTCGCAAATGTAGTTGCTGGTGTGTGGAGAGAAGGAAAAATGCATCCACAGAGCAAGGCAAGGCTATTTTTGCTTTGTGCATGAAAGGGTGAGTGAGCCTGTAAAACCCGCAGACATAGAGAAGCAGACACCAAGTTATACACACAGGAAAACACACACTGGGAAGCACGCACAGATATCCGATATATATGGGAGTTGATCGAAAACCCCGTGTAAGGAGTTTTATATAAAACAGCCTTTCAGATGTTGTTAGAACCATCCGCGAAAGATTCGCGATGAGGTTCGCGAAAGTATCTTTTTTTTCCGCGAAAGATTTATCGAAGGTCATCGCTTTCATTGATTTCCTTTCTACCGGACTGACAAAGAATAGAAACGCAAGGCAATCCTCCGGCAGAGCCAGTGGGCGAAGTGTCCCCATGTCACAGACTAACGAACTGAAGCCTCAACCTTTCCGTGCCCAGCCCTGGCAGTGCGTAAAGGATTCTCCGATTCCTGTCCCCACTGTCACATACTAGCAAGCTGGGTAGGCGCAGCCCTGACAGTGAGGCAACGACCTGCGGCTGCTCTGACGGGCTGTGCAGATGTTTGCAAATGTTACGGCGTCCCGGGGAAAGCACCAGTGAAATTTCGCGAAAGATCCGCGAAAGTTTCGCGAATGTGCCGCTAAAGTCTAGGTTCCCAGCTTGAGGCCCCCAACATTCCCCAAGCTGCATCACCCTGTGTTGGTAGCTGACACAAGGATTGGGTTGAGTTGTGCCTGACTCTATTTGGCACAATTGTCGCACAGATGCTGCAAGTGACCCTGAGTAGGTGTGCAAACGTTCAACCATCTACTGGGGTCATGCTGCAAGACGTCTCTCCCTATTATGACGTGTTCCGGCTCATGTTAGCTAGACATGGTTGTAGGACCATGCTTCGCGATGAGGCCGCGAAAGATCCGCGAAAGATATCTTTTTTTCCGCGATGAATGGCCATTCCAGGATGAAAGAATATTGATCAGCCACCATATATATATATATATTATAGATAGGTATATGGTATACATCTTGTTATGCTTATACACACACAGAGACACGGACCGGCAAACCAACACCTGGACACGCCACAGACGCTACATATGCAGCAATACAATCACAAGTAGACAGTAGAGACGCGCAATGTCAAATCGTGCAAGACCAAATTGTGAGTCACCCCCCAAAACTGACCAGCACTTGTGCAAGGCAACCTGTATGTGGGTAAGGAGCCATGCTGCCGCAGCACTTTGACCTTTTGAAGGGCAAGTGCCCAAATGGCGCCGCTTGTGTTTTGTGAAGTGACCTCAGCATTTGCCTCACCCTCAGGCCTAGTGAACCCCAACTATGTGGAGCAGGGGGCGCAGGCGTCGACGCCCGGAAGACATGGCAGTATGAAGACATGGAAGAAGGATACCTTCAGCTGACTGTGCAGGCCCGCAACTCGCGCTCGAAGCATTTCACGGCGCTGTTCACGCCCTCCCGACACAGTTCCATGTGGAAAAGTCTGCATTTTCAGCACAGATGTAACCCAGACGGGCCCCACTCGCAAGACCTGGGAACCCCCACAACTCGCCAGACAGCGTCGGCTGCCGGATGTGGGCTGGAAGGAGGCGGTTCTGAAAGTCACAGAGCGGGTGGAGAATCAACTCTCTGTGCAGTCGCATCTAACATCATGACCTAACCACAAAAAAGAGTCACAGCAGGCCACTTAGACCACATATACCAGACAGTTCTCTGTGACCGCTTTTGCTTTTTCTGTGAAGTGCCCGCGGTTCTGCTGTATACTCTTCTGCCATAATAAAGGCTTCGGAGCAGATTCGGAGCAGACTCCGAAGGAGGCTCCGGAGTAGGTTCCGGAGCAGGTTCCGGAGCAGGTTGCGGAGGAGGTTCCGGAGCAGGTTCCGGAGCAGGTTCTGGAGGAGGTTCCGGAGCAGGTTCCGGAGCAGGTTCCGGAGCAGGTTCCGGAGCAGGTTCCGGAGGAGGTTCCGGAGCAGGTTCCGGAGCAGGTTCCAGATCCGGAGGAGGTTCCGGAGCAGGTTCCGGAGCAGGTTCCGGAGGAGGTTCCGGAGGAGGTTCCGGAGCAGGTTCCGGAGCAGGTTCTGGAGCAGGTTCCGGAGGAGGTTCCGGAGGAGGTTCTGGAGCAGGTTCCGCTCAGGTTCCGGAGGAGGTTCCGGAGCAGGTTCTGGAGCAGCTCCAGAGTGTATATAGGTCCCGGAGGAGGTTCCGGAGCAGGTTCCGGAGTATAGGTTGTGGAGCAGGTTCCGGAGTTCCGGAGCAGGTTCTGGAGCAGGCGGAGGAAGTTCCGGAGTATAGGTTCCGGAGAAGGTTCCGGAGCAGGTTCCGGAGTATAGGTTGAGGAGGAGGTTCCGGAGGAGGTTCCGGAGCAGGTTCTGGAGGAGGTTCCGGAGGAGGTTCCGAGCAGGCTCCGGAGAGCACTGCGTGAGAGAAAAAGTGTGGCTGTGAAATTGGCCTTGAGCTGTTGGGTATTTTTTGTTGCTTTTGGACTCACCAGGGGTTCTTACGGTAGGAGAAAAGCAGCTGATGCTTAGATCGCTGAAGCGCGCGGGCGTGAACGGCTAATTCGTTACTATTTGCAGTACATTCATGCCTCTCGAAATCCTCGAAATGCATTTCGACTGCGCAGGCTCCGCGCGCATCTTCGTACATGGCGGTCACTTTTTGTGGCAGACGCAAGGGAAGCCTCGTGTTTTGGTGCCCAAAAGTCAACTTTTCGTGGCGGGTGCAAGGGATCGATTTCGTGGCAGGTGCAGCACTTTGTGAACCTTGACGCGTAGATTTCGTGGCAGGCGCAGCACTTTGTGAACCTCGAAGTGCAGATTAGTCCCTTGATTATAACCCCCCTCAACAACCAAGGCCTCCAAGATAATGTATAAGAAAATCAATCAATTGATGATTAAATAAGGAATCCTTAGCTAGCTACCTCTGGAGCTACTCTGGCAATACTAAAATGAAAGGAATCAAGAAACCTAACTTTGAAGACATCTGGAATATTAATTACAATAAAAGATAATGACTTTTTTTCCTGCATAGATTTATACAGGCCCCCAGAATAATGTCTTTTTTTTGGGAGGGGCAGTTGTAGTGGAATACTTTTTATTGTTATAGTTTACTTTGTCCCTTTTGAGTTTGCTGGGATTTTCTTATCTTACAGGCTTTTGGATGGAGATTTCTATTAAACATTTGGAGACTTCCATTGAGATTTGATGCTTTTGGAGGCTTTTGGATGGAGATTTCTATTAACCAGTTGAAGATTTCCATTGAGATTTGATTCTTTTGGAGGCTTTTGGATGGAGATTTCCGTTAAATTTTTGGAGATTTCCATTGAGATTTGATGCTTTTGGAGGCTTTTGGATGCTTTCTGACATTATTTAGGGGGGGTGCCTAGAATAATGTCTAGAGATTTCAGGCTTAAAAATATTTTGCTTTAAGTAAACTTGTATTCATTCCCTTTCTTTTCTGCTTTGATTTGCTTTACTTACCTAAGCTCTTTAGTCTTTAAGCTGTCCAAACGTTTCATTTTGCTGTCTATTCTAGGGTAGTGGTTTATACATCTAGGGGCCACATTAGGTGCAGCACGTGGTGAACCTCGAAGTGCAGATCTCGTGGCAGGCGCAGCGCATTGGTGAACCTCGAAGTGCAGATTTCGTGGCAGGCACAGCACTTGGTGAACCTCGAAGTGCAGATTTCGTGGCAGGCACAGCACTTGGTGAACCTCGAAGCGGAGATTTCGTGGCAGGCACACCACTTGGTGAACCTCGAAGTGCAGATGTCGTGGCAGGCGCAGCACTTGGTGAACCTCGAAGTGCAGATTTCGTGGCAGGCACAGCACTTTGTGAACCTCGACTCGAAGTGCAGATTGCGTGGCAGGCACAGCACTTGGTGAAGCTCGAAGTGCAGATTTCGTGGCAACTTTGTGAACCTCGATCTCTCTCTCGCTCGCGCTCACTCACTCACACTCACACTCACTCTCACTCGCACTCACATTCACGCTCACTCTCACTCACACTCACTCCCACTTCTCACTTCTCACTTCTCACTCTCACTTCTCACTCTCACTCTCACTCACTCTCCCACTCTCTCACACTCACTCTCACTCTCACCCACACTGACTCACTCACCCACCTTCACTCTCACTCGCGCTCACTCACCCACCTTCACTCTCACTCTCACTCACTCACACTCTCACTCTTCACTCACACTCGCCTCACATCACTTACTCTCCCACTCTCACTCACTCTCTCCCACTCACTCTCATTCTCACTCTCACTCTCACCCACTCACTCACCACCATCGCCACCGTCACCACGATCCCCACCTTCATCACCACCATCACCTCTCTGGACCCCAATGCGTCTAGATCTATAGACTTTCTGCTTATAGACCTCACACACTGTTTGGGGTCTCTTGCCGGGATATTTTTTTTGCATGTTTGTTTTTTTGAGCCATGTTCGTTTTTTTGAGCCACGTTCTTCATTTCCCTGGCCACACCCAGCAGCACGCACGCATGCGCATTCGCTGGCGGCTGGCGCGACGTCCAGGATGACATTCAAGCACTGCTGGATGAAATGGCGCCGGAGGCTGAAATGCAGTGGGCCATTGGTTTCCTATGTTGGGGCACATAAATGTATACTCAAGGGGGCTCTGGAGAACCCCCCCCTCCCCTGTGTGGAGATAGACCGGGTGATGTTTCTGGGCGACGTCGATGTAACCTAAGCGACATGGCAACATCGCATGGTTTTGCACCTTGTGGAGGTGGTTTTGGCTCAAAACGGATCGTCAAACGGAGTAGGAGAGAACACATCCACTGCCAAGAATGTAGCATTGTGAGTGAGATTGAGGGAGCAGAATGCCAAGGATCACAAACTTGTTCATCCATCACAACTTTATACCAAAACGGGATTCACGCACTTGATGGACAGAACTTCAATTTGACAAAACAGATCGGCAACATATTATTTTGAGATATTTGATCTAGAGACCATTGACTAGCTCAACTCCTGTATTTTTTGACGCATTGTCAGTGCTTCAAAACATGACTCATACATTGTGCGCATGCCAAGAACTAGTGCTGACGTCTATGAACCATGGACAAGCTGAGCGCCAGAGATGCCAGTGAAAAAGAAAAAGGTCTACAAACACATTACTAAAGGCGCACGTGCGCAGCATGCCAAGCCTTCCGGCACCAAGGCGGAGCAGCAAGAACAGGAGCCTCAAAAGGACATTCCACTTGTCCCTCAGAAGAAGTTAGGCCTGCGGAGGAAAATCAGGAAAGGCCGAAAAGGAGCTCTTGGAGAACCCAGTGGTGAAGTCCAAAGTGCCAGCAGAGAAGTGGTAGCTCAGGAGCAGGCCGAGCAGGCCGAGCGCTCACGACTCGGACTGAAGTCATCCAAAAAGAAGCGACGGCGAAACGCCAGAGCTGTGCCAGCCTCCGTCGAGCGCGAAGAGACCCCCAGGTGCTCGCCACTCCGCTCCGGTGAGTGTGAGGGGACGGAGGGGACGGTGAAACCGAAGCCGAAACGGGTGAAGAGCCGCCCAGACGAGGAGCCCGAGCCCCACGAGCCCAAGAAAAAGCTGAAGGTGCCTGAAAATGAAAGAAAAGAGACAGAGAGAGAGACTGGAGAGACGGCAGAAATGAATGGAGACTGCGTTGAAGATTTGGAGACCATGTGCTTGAAGGTTTGTGCTGCAAATCTCCCCTATTGGTTCGATAAGAGCCGTATTTGGAGGCACTTCCGTCGGGCTGGCACCATTCAACACGTTTGGCTGCTGTGGGATCAATGGTCTGGTGAGTCAAGAGGCATTGCTTTCATCACGTTTGCAGACAAGTCCTCTGTGAAAGCGGCGCTGGAGTATGATGGAACCACAGTTGGGGGTAGCGTGATCCGAGTAAACCTTGCCACAGACAGGGAGGGAGAGAAGGGCAAGGCAAAGGAGAGTGAAGCGGTGAGGGTGAATGGTGGTTGGGGCGGAGGCGGAAGTTGGGGCTCCGAGAACCCTGACGGTAAGCAAGCTGGTGGCAACGGTGGCAAGGGTGGCAAGGGTGGCAAGGGTCAGTCAAAGGGAAAGAACAAGAGTCAGTCACCGAGCGCTCCATTGGCCTTGGCCGATAAACCTGAGGGTTCCCTTGGTCTGATGGCCCGAGGCTTGTCCTTTGACGTGACCGAGGCTGACTTGCAAGAGCTCTTTGCCAGCTGTGGCTCGGGTCCGACCAGAGTTCGGATCTTGATTCTTGACTGTCCGAGACAGCATAAACCCTTAATCTGTTTGGTTCAGAAAGGATTCCCTACTATTCCCTACTAAAGTCGCTAAAGGTTAAAGGCAAAAAAAGCTCAACCTTTAGCAAAGGACGTATGGACAGCCGAGGATTGACAAGGCCACTGGCCAGTCCAAGGGCAAAGCCTTCATCGACTTCGCCGACGAGGCCGCGTTGACGCGGGCGGCGGAGCTGAACGATCAGATGCTCCGGGGCCGAAAACTGCGCTTGGAGTTTTCCAAGGCGGTGGCATGACGGATGAGGAATCACAGCATCTGGAAGGACAGCCATTTTGGGAAAGCGGCATGGCCTTTGGAGATCTTTGACGCCACATCGATGGACCGGCCAAATTCTGTTTGGCACCTTTTGGTGCCTTTGGTGTACAGGTGCTACATGGAAGGTCCGCGTGTGAGGATGGCAGAGAAACCAAAAGCTTGACAAAGACAGCGGAAATTACATAGATATAGAAATGGAGTCATATGGAGCCTAATGGAGTTCAAAAACAGAAGACTTACCGGGGCACCATGCTGGCTATACGGGTGAGAGCTGATTTACTCCTTGCGCGATCCAAGGTCCTTTGACACCAACAACTTTGAGGACTGGTCAAGTTTTGTTCGAGACAGTTTGCTGACATACAGTATGCCCCGCCATGTTCTTGATCCATCGGCTTTGGCAGGGAAACGTTGGAGTCGGAGAAAGAGAAGGCCGCCGCGACATTTTCTCACCCAGTGGGCTTCCAGCGTGCGTTCGGGAAGCTGTCAGGCCGCGTCATCTCTGACCTGGTTCGGCGTAGGCATTTTGGCCTGACGCATGGTGACCCATCCTGAAAGGTCGTGTGCTGTGTTTGTGCGCCATGTGTTTCTCGGATGCACCAAGTGCTGGGCAGGTATCGGTCGGAGTGGAGATGTCATGGTCGCGGCCCAAGGTTTTTGCCGAACACAGTATTCAGATGTATATGATGTATTCAGTAATACGCTTTTTTTGCAACATCGTTTTTTTGGGGTGTGGGTCCCGTGGGTTGGTTCATTTGACTCATGTTAGTTCATTTGTTGCTTTTGTCGGCCAGCGTAGGTCGTGGTTCGGTTGTCGGGTGCGGTCGTGGGGGGGGGTAATGACGTGCTCTAAGTGATGTAAGGATGCAGTTGTGCGTACCTCACCGTGTTTTCCTTTGTGTATTACAACGTGCTTCTTTCAATGGCAGGTGCTCCTATGCAACATCCAAACCTACTGTAAATACCAATACACAATTCAGGTAATGACCTTCAAGTCGAAGGAAGAACACTTTTCCGCAGGTTTCTTAAGTGAAAGAAACTTGTGTGTTGAGTTGCAAAGTGTTGCGAATCAACAATTACTAGTATCATGAAAGAACTCTTGGCTGAACTGCTGAATGACTGATCACTTATCATCAGACCTTCAAGAACACTTTTCCGAACTTTATTTATTTTCCTGTCCCGCACTCCGAACCAAAATGAAGAATCTTCCTTGGGAAGCATGGGAAGTGTGATGCACCAGCTAAGACACTTCCAAGACAAACCGACAAAAAAATCCACAAGAAAAAGACCCAACAACAAACCAGCACACAGTTGCAGGGCGGGTTATCAGACGCGTCCCTTGTTTTTCGCTGGGCAGATCAGGATTGCGGCATGTCTGACGGTTCATGCTGCTTTCTTGTGAGGCTTTCAGCATGGGCAGGTTTGTGCGTCGATGCGACCACGCAGCCCGATGCGACCGGACGCCGCGTTCACGGCGCCCGACAGTGGTCGTTGCTCCAGGCGGAGCAGCCGAAAGCTGCCGGGTCTTCCCTCTTGGTGCAGTTCGGAAGCCCGCCCTTGCCATATCGCTGTTGTGCTCCAAACACGTTGGGGTTGTGTTCAAACTGTTTGGTTTCTTGGTGAACATTTGGCAGAATACTCGCAGTGGATCTCAGGAAAAACTAAGAAAGCTGAATCATTTGGTTGGTTTTCAGAGTCATTTGGAGATTCCCAATGTCCAAGAAAAAACAATTTGAGTGTAGTAAGTGACTGCATGCCATCCTAGGCTGACAAGATACTTAGCGCTGGATGCGATTCGATTAGCTGGGCTACAGCCTTTGCTGCAAAGTCTTTGCAACCTTCGGATTCACACACCAGCACACATTCAATTTGTCACGTTCTTTTTGAGACTGCTGAACTCAGTCAGTCTAGAGTCCAGAGAAGTCTGGAGGAAGATTTGTAAGTCATTGCGTTGGTGGTCTGCTCAGGATCAAGGCTGCCAAAGCTTGCGCGGTCTTGCCTGCTGCGACAGGACACCTCGGGCGCCGGTAGGAGAAGATCTCCAGGTGCCTGAAGATCTGCAAGTGGACACATCCCAGTGCATCCACCTCGTCCGCCACTAAAGGGTCAATCATATGAAACCTTTCCTAGAAGATTTTTGCCTGCCAGAGTTACTGTACGATGATTCTCAAACATTCTCCGGAGGACTCACCATGACGCTGGTATTTCTGGCCTTGCGGCAGATGAGGCCAGTCGAATCACATCGGCTCTTAAAGTCTTAAAGTCGGCCTTTGCCACGTCGTGTAGCCACAGGCCAGAAGGGAAGTATGTGGTCTGGTCCAGGCTCAGTTTGAAAAAGAGACACGGTTGGCCCCTCTCACTGACATCCTTCTGCCAGGATAGATCAGAAATCCTGCTTCAAGGCAAATGGGGTTTCTGCCACAGACATTTTCAATCATTTTCAATCGTTTTCAATAGTAAGGGCTCCGCCCTGGTGCCGCCGACCCCTTTTCTTGGGGGAGGAGCTGGAAGACCAGAAGCCGGACAGGGATTGCTATAAGCATACACCGGCTATGTGCTCAAGACTCTGTATTCTTGATTCCTTTTACCCGGGCTTAGGCTACACTACGGACGCGCCAGTGTATGCACAGTCCTTGTCAGGAAAGCTGAGATGAGCTGTGTGCCTGAAACCTTGACATATCACACTGGTGGTGCTTGCTGCCGGCGGCGCTGCTATAACCATACACCGGCTATTTCCTCAAGACACTCTATTCTTGACACCTTTTACCAGTGCTTATCCTACACAACGGACGCCCTAGTGTATGCACAGTCCTTGTGATGCTTACCCCTCGTTCCGGCTGAAGGCATAGATAAGCGGGGGGTAAATCGACCCCCCAGATTTGCTATCCCAAGTCCTCCCGAAACCATTCTCAGCATGAACTCTCATTTCAGGACCATACTGACCCAAAGGAAAGTTCCAAGACCATTCTCAGGATGGTCTTTCGTTACAAGGGGGCTAGGTGCACCATCACAAGGACCTTTTTTCCACATCAGAGCGTGTTCTAGCGCATCCACCAACACATCATCACGCTCAGGAACGTTTGCGGGCGGGGCCCGTGGGCGAAGAGAAGGGGCAGGCTTCGGACAGGCCACAGAGAGGCCG